CAGTATCACCTTGATATCAAAGCCAGGAAAGGATACAATGACAAAAAAAAAAAAAAAAAAAAGAAAGAAAAAGAAAAAGAAAAGAAAACTACAGACCAATATCCCTTATGAATATAAATGTAAAAATTCTCAGTAAAATTCTAGCACACCAAATTCAGCAGCACATCAAAAATATAATCCACCACAACCAAGTGGGCTTTATCCCAGAGATGAAAGGATGGTTTAACAAATGTAAATCAAGAATGTTATCTACCACATAAACAGAAGCAAAAGCACAGACCAGATACAGAAAAAGCATTTGACAAAATCCAGCACCCATTCATGATAAGAACTCCTAACAAAATAGGCATACATGGAACATATCTCAAAATTATAAAAGCCATATATGATGAACCCACAGCCAACATCATACTGAACAGGGAAAAGTTGAAAGCATTCCGACTTAAAACTGAACCTAGACAAGGTTGCCCACTGTCACCATTTTATTCAACATAGTGTTAGAAGTCCTAGCCAGAGCAATCAGGCAAGAGAAGGAAATCAAGGTTATCCAAATGGGGAAAGAAGAGGTCAAACTATTGCTCTGTGCTGAAGATATAATCACATATCTAGAAAATCCCAAAGATTCTGTCAAGAGCCTCCTGGAATTGATAAATAAATACAGCAAAGTCTCTGATTACAATATCAATGTACACAAATCAGTAGCATTTCTATATACCAACAATAGTCAAGCTTAGAATCAAATCAAAGACTCAATACCTTTCACAATAGCTACAAAGAAAATAAAACACTGAGGAATGTATTTAACCAAGGAGGTGACAGAATTCTACAAGGAGAACTAAGAATCACTGAGTAGGGAATCACAGAGGGTATAAACAAATGGAAAAACATATCATGTTCATGTATCCAGAGAATCAACATCGTTAAAATGTCTATACTACCCAAAGTGATTTACAGTTCAATGTAATCCCCACTAAAATATCAATATCATTTTTCACAGCTCTAGTTAAAATAATTCTACACTTCACATGGAACCAGAAAAAAGCCTGAATAGCCAAAACAACCTTAAGCAAAAGGAACAAATCAGGAGGCATCACTGTACCAGACTTCAAGTTATACTACAAGGCTACAGTAACCAAAACAGCATTGTATTGGCACAAAAATAGAGACAGGCCAATGGATCAGAACAGAGAACCCAGATATAAAACCATCCTCATATCACCATCTGATCTTTGACAAAGCAGACAACAATATACACTGAGGAAAAGATTCCCTATTCAATAAATGATGCTGGAAAAATTGGACAGCAACAAGTAGAAGATTGAAACAAGATCCTTTCCTGTCACCTGTCACTCATGAAAATTAAGTCAAGATAGATAACAGATTAAAACCTAAGATACAAAACTATAAAAATTCTAGAAGAAAATGTTGGCAAAACTCTTATAGACATTGGCCTAGGCAAAGAATTTATGAAGAAGACCCCAAAGGCAATCACAGCAACAACAAAAATTAATAAATTGGACTTGATCAAATTAAAAAAACTTCTGCACAGGAAATAATCAATAGAGTAAATAGACAACCTATAGAATAGGAGAAAATGTTTGCATGCTATACATTTGATAAATGGCTAATAACTAGAATCTACAAAGCACTCAAGCAAATCAGGAATTAAAAATCAAACAATCTCATTAAAAGTGGGCAAAAGACATGAATAGAAACTTCTCAAAAGAAGATAAAGGACAATAAACATATCAAAAAATACTCAACATCTCTAATTATCAAGGAAATGCAAATCAAAACCACAATGATGTATCACCTAACCTCAGTGAGAATGGCTTTTATCAAAAAATCCCAAAACAATGGATGCTGGTGTGAATGAGGAGAGAAAGGAACACTTACACACTCTTGGTGGGACTGCAAAGTAGTACAATCTCTATGGAAAGTAGTATGGAGATATCTCAAAGAACTAAAAATAGACCTATCATTTGATCTAGCAATCCCACTTCTGAATATTTACCCAAAGGAAAAGACATGTTATAAAAAAGATACTTGTATTTGAATGTTTATTGCAGCATAATTCACAATCGCAAAGATATGGAAACAACCCAAGTGCAACAACTCATCAATTCATTAGTGGATTAACAAAATGTGGTATATATATACCATGGAGTACTACCCAGCCATTAAAAAAGTGATGAATTAATACCTTTTGTAACAATCTGGATGGAACTGTAGACCATTCTCCTAAGTAAAGTATCACAGGAAAGAAAAGACAAATACCATATGTACTCACCAATAAATTGGAACTAATGGATTAGCACTCATATGGAATCACAGCAACAACTCAAAGGTAATCAAGCAGGTGGGGGGTGAGGAGGGATGGGTGAAATCATACCTAACAGGTACAATGTACACTATCTGAGTGATCAGCACACTTACAACTTTGACTTAAATTGTACAAAAGCAATTCATGTAACCAAAACACTGTACCCCTGTAATATTATGAAATACAGAAAAAAAAGAGAGAATATTTGGTAGGGCATGAACCCAAGCCATGTGAGCAGATTTAGTGAAGAATCTGTACTCTCCCACCCTTATTGAGCACTTCATCCTGAAATGATAGAAAGAGCCCTTTCTATCATTAATCTCAGATATGTTTTCCAGTCAAATAGTTTCTTCTTTTCCACTCCAGCCACTCCCCCTTACAAAGTCTGTCAACCTAAGCCAAAACTATCTCCTAAACCACCTACAAAAGGGTATTTTAAATTGAAGCCCATCTTTGAAACAATGCAGAACATAAATATTTATCTTTACTCATTGTGTGCACATCATAGCATAGAAGTCTAGTCATCTGATCTTTTACATGCTACATAGGAATGTTTCTCCCATTTCTGTTCATAGGATCTTAACAATGAGAGTAATTGATGGTTTGTGGATAAAGAAGGGCAGATCAGTACACGTGATGGTATTTTCATGTTTAGAGGCAAGAAGAGGAGCGAAAAGGAAACAAAGATAGGAAAATCAGAAAAATAAGAGGATAACGATAATGTAATATGATGGATGCCAAAGGAGAGTTTCAGAAAGGAGAGAACAATCTATAGCAGCAACTGTTTCAGACAATAATGATAAAATATCAAAAACTTTCTATGTGCCAGGCAGTCGTCCAAGAACTTTTTAGTAAATTTTATTGATATATTTTGTTTAATCTATTAAAAATACTATCATCCCACATGTAATAAATACAAGAAATTATCATCTTTTTCCATTGTAAGTCTTAAGAAAACTGTTGTTTATTTAAAAATTTTAGCACACCCAATTTACACATTTTAAATGCTCAACAGTCACATGTGGATAGTGGCCACTTTATAGGACTGAGGAGCACAGAGAGCTATTGGTAAGATTAAGGGAGACAGTTCATCTCTTTTAGGAGATGCAGGAGATGAAGTACTCAGCACAGTGTGTGGTAGGTAGAAAACACACATCTTTCCCCTATTCTCCAAGCCCACAATGGTTCACTGTTCTCTGGACTGAAAGTGAGCACTTCACTCTGCCTTCTAAAACTCTGAATTCCTCACTTCGCTCTTCTCTTCCAGAAAGTACAATGAAGGTTTTCTCACCACCACTATCCTGTCAAACCTATCGACAACTATGCCTGAGCTGCTGCAGTAGCTCCCCTACTAGTGCCTCCATCATCTGCTCCTACTCCCTCTAATCCATTCTTCAAGGAGTGGTGGAATGTTTTTTGGTGATTTATTTTATTGTGTTAAAGTGGACATATGATAATATTTACCCTTTTAACCATTTTTAAACATACAATTCAGTGACATTAGGTTCATTCACATTGTTGTACAGTCATTACCACTATCCATCATGAGAACTTTTGCATTATTACAAACTGAAACTCTATACCCATTAAACAGTAACTCCCCATATTTCATCCCCTCTAGCCCCTGGTAACCTCTACTTGATTTTTTGTCTCTCAATTTGCATATTCTAAGTATTTCATATAAATGGAATCATATGATATTTTTCCACTGGCTTAATTCACTAGCATAATGGTTTTAAGGTTCTCCCAGTTGTAGCATGTTTCAGAATTTCATTTTTGTGGCTAAATTATATTCTATTGTATGTTTATCATATATTTTATTTATCCATTAATCTATTGATGCATATTTGCATTGTTTCTACTTTTTTGGTTATTTGAGTAATGATGCTATGAACATTGGTGTACAAATATCCAAGAACTTTTTAATACATTATTTCACTAAGTCCTAATAACAACTCTGCAAAATAGATACTATTTTTATTTTTGTTTTACAGATAGGAAGAAAGAGGCATAGAGAGGTGAAATCACATAGCTGGTGAGTAGTGAAGCCAGGATTCAAATGTAACAATGTTATTATTTTATGTGTGCCATGATGTGAAAAGGGTTGGGAAGAACTGCTATATACCAGGGAGCTACAGATGCCTCATCAAGAGGATAGAGGTCTGAGAAAAGCTGGTTGGATATTTTGGAGCTCAGGAGTCACCAGTGATAAAGCAGTACAGCAGCAAGGTAGAGGCAGTGAAGTAGAGAATAAAGAAATGGTGACAGAAAAAGGAAAAAGAAATAGGATGATAGCTAGAAAGTACAGCAGAGCTACTATATTGGATTTTTTCAAGGTGGAAAAGACTCTGGAGAGTTTATAATAGATTAAAGATTTATAACAGCCTTTTAGCCAATTACAAAAGCAGATTTTAAAACCATCAACAAAGGTATCACACAATAAAATAATATGCCTAGGAGGATTAAGTAGATCAGGCAGAAAAAGCAATTAATGGACTTACTCTGGTATAATCCAAAGATGAAAGATGCTATACTTTCTATAATAACACTAAGCTTTTTATGAAACAGCAGAAGTTTGCTATAAATATGAATAAAAGGATTGAAAATCATGCTTAACCAGTAGCAGAGCTCTACTTGTGAGGAAGAAAGCATTATTCTAAATGACATTTTACTCTACCTTGCTTGTTTCATTCTCTTTGAAACCTTTTTCAAGTATGTGTAGCAGATGCTTTTTCTTTACTGTAACTTCAGGATCAAAAACATAAAAAAGGCATTCTAGCATCTTTCGATAGCTCCTTAAAAATAAGTGAAACAGAAAAAGTTTGAGAATTTATTTCACAAAAGCTTAGCCATAGATGAGATAACCATATGTCCTGCCAGGGATACTTCCCATTTGCATCCAATATTCTAGCATCATTATTAAGAGCTAACCGCCCTTACTTTATTCTGAAAAAGAGGCCCAGTGTGGATAAATTATGAAGTCATCATAGCCATGGGAAATGTATAAAAAGGAAACATTTACTAACAAGGTATATTTTCAATACTGTAAACTTTTAAAACAGAAAGACTGTTTTATAAAATAAAGTCAAATTTTTATAAAATTTTGTTCCTTAGAGAATTTAGATTCTTACTCCGGATCATGCATATCTTCATTGTCCAAAAACTTTTGAAATTTCTCTTCAAATTTTAGTCTCAGAATGCGGTTGTTAACTTTAATGACACGTTTTACTTTTACTCCTGTAATACCATATGTTCTGAAGTCCCATGTACAAAAACGTGACAGAATTAATTCATAGCAGGAGTTAAACCTATGTGGGAATACAGAAAATACATAAAGAAAATAACATATTTTACTTAAAATGTTCGAGAATACAAAATTACATATGATAAAAGTTATAGCTCATATTTTGTGTCTTTTGCTAAAGATACATACAGTAATCATATAGTAGCACATACTTATTCCATCAATAAAAGAAATACTAAATTTTGAAATATTATAAAAACAATAACTTCCTTATCAATTTTTTTGAATATACTTGTTCTGCCTAAAAGATACATTGATTGAGTAATCTTCCCTTTCTGAAACACTTTTTCCCCCCAGCTTCAGTGAAACTACATATTCCTGGGTTTCCTTTGACTGGGTGTTCAAGTTTTCTTTGCTAGTTCTTCTCAGACAGATTTCTAAATGTTGGATTGCCTCAGGGATCAGCCTTTGGCCTTCCCCTTGCTTCCATGAACACTCTCACTAAGTGATTTCATTTGCTTCTTTGTCTTTATATATATGTTGATAACCTACATTTTATTTCTAGCCTTGAGCTCCACCAATTTTAGCTGGTTATGCCCAGAGTTGAATATCCAATTACCAACTTGACATATCCACTTGCATATTAAATAGGCCTCTCATACCTAACTTATCTGACACCTGCCCCCAAACCTGATCCTCCTGAGTGTTCTCCATCTCAGTATAGGGCATCACCATCTAACTCGTAGCTTAAGTTAAAACCCCAAGAATAATACAATCCTCTCTTCCTCCCCAGTATCTAATTCTTTAGCAAGTCTGTTTGGCTCTACATCTAAAATATTTCCAGAAGATGACCATGTTTCATCATCACCCCGTTACCAAACAAGTCCAAATCATCATTGTCTCTCAGTTGTACTATTTGCCAATATGTACATTGTTACTTCCTAAGTGGGAATTTAGACATGGAAGAGGGAGTGTCTCTGCTCTCATGAAGCCTGTATGCCAAGGTGGGTGGGGGATGCAGTAGACAGAAAATAAACAAGCCATAAATAAAATAATTTCTTAAACTGATAATGGATTTAAAGAATGAGAGGCTTGAGGCAAGGAATGCAGAGGAGACTTACTTAAGATAGGGTTTTGGCGAAGACCTTTCAGAGAAGATATTTGATCTGAGACCTAAAGGAGGGGCCAGCTATGTGAAGATGAGAATAAGTAGTGAAGTGCTTGTTTTGCTCTCTGCTGCCCCCACCTGGCCATGCTTATAAAACTAAGGTCCTGTCTTAAAAGTAGCACAGAAGCTAGATTAAGATGAGATTGAAAAATGGATCATTTTGAGAAGTAAGTGATCCTATGTGGCATACATTTGCCTTTAATGACATGTCTAGGTCCTCACCTACATAATCAACCAGGACTTGAGCCTAGATGTGAGCTAAGATCACAGAAATGAGCTTCCTGATGGGTGGTCAGTTTCTCCTTGAGCCTAATAAACCTGAACTTCTAACCTAGAGCATATACCTTTCTCACTAGCAAAGATTTAATCAGTACAGCCAGGAGCTTGCCAATTACTTCTCCTTTAGAGTTGAAAAGAGAGCCCCCCCCATACCAAACTAATCCCAGAGGAGTTCACAGTCTGGTAGAGGAGCCAGATATGAATAGTGTTGTAATCTGCCTTATGCCTGCTAACCAGTTCAGAGATCTAATAAAATAGCCACATTATCATCTAGGGTGGGAAACCTGCTGCTCCTCCTATAGAGGGATCATTTGCTTGGCCTAAATCTGTCAAGTCTTCCCTAAATAAACTCCTTGGAAGCACTGAAGTTATCATTATTGCACTTCCTGTACTTTGGTAGAAACTAATGCTGTAGACATTTTATATAACATTTTTGTTATACAGTGGACATCTTAGTAGGGCTCAAGGGTTCTCAAGAATTGGTGGAAGGGATGAGTAGACAATACCTAGCTTCTAGTATGGTACCCTAGGAATGCAGGAAGCAGGAATGGGCACAGGAAACTTCATGAATAGTGATCCTTTCATAGAGCTTTTGTTTGCCTGGGAATTCAACAGCTGAGCGATGATGGCGTGAGGGTGAGGAATGCAAAGGCACACTGAGTGAAGGAAGCCAAACAAACAAAACCACTTATGTGGTGAGTACTAGGTATGCTCCAAGGCACACAGTTCAGCTGAGTCTAAAAGATCTGAAAAGGAGTTATAGTTTAGAGACCATAGGGTGGAAACGCTGAATGCTCCACTATAGGCAAATAGTCAGAATGTAATTTAGAAGATAACAGATAGCTACAAGGGCTTTTGTTTTGTTTTTAACAGAGTACTCTCTATGTAGGAAGCATGTCAACAGGGATCATATGAAAGACCATTCAGGAATCTTTACTGATTAACAAATGCTGAGTACCTACCTACCACATGCAGGCACTGCATTAGGTGTTATAGCAATAGTCTAGGTCAGAGGTTATGAATATTTGGTTACAATGTACAGGAATGAATGAAAGACATGGTATGGAGGAGAACCTATGAGTCTTGGCACCTGATTGGATGTGAAGGTTAAGGGAGATAATTTTACAGCTGAGGTTCAGATGTATTAAATAGTTGTTTCAAGATTGTGCAGAGAGTTTGAACCTAGGTCTTCTGTCTCTAACTTCTTTATGTATTCCATTACTTCACAGCTGACTGCCCTTTGAATGTGTTGAATTTGCCTTGGCAGTGGACATCCAGATAGACATGTCTAATAGACAGGAATTCAGGGCTGGAGTCTAGGAGAGAGGTTGTAGCTATAAGTAATTTGTGAAAGAACAGGAGTAGAAGAGACTGGCAAGGGAAGGCATAAAAAGAAATTACAAAATGTCTGAGTACAAAAGAAAAAAGAGATGATGGAGTTATAAGGAAGAAATGGTTAATGGTGTCAAATACTTTAGTGGTCAGGAGAATGAGGGCCTCCCATTTCAGTGGGTACACTCACTCATTCAGTGGGACCTGAATGTATAAGCAACCACAATGATTTACATCATTGACTAAGATATTCATTACACAGAAAGATACCCACAAACTTTTGTTAAAATACAAAAGAGGTTTTCATTTAGCAAATGTAGAATGCACATGTTTTTAAATGGTTGGATCTTAATCTTACCTACTAAAATGCATTTCATAATCCTAGACAAGGTTTTAATAAATTCTATAACTTGGCTTACTGACTTAAGTCAATATTTTATCAGTATAAATCAAAAAGTTTCTGCTGCTATAGCTCTTTAAAATAGTAACTATGAAATCTTTATATATAAAGAGTTAGTTAGTTTAATTACTGAAAGTCATTATATACACAAGAATGAAACATTTGAGTATCTATAAGTGATATGGAAGCTTCAATTACTAATTATTGACCATGTTATGAATCCAGACCTGTGCTATGACTTACAAGGCACATGAAACATCATATCTGTCCCCAAGTAATATATAGAATCACTTATATATTGTCTTGTGGCACTTTAAAGTTATATTTTTAATTATAAGTACATTGTATCCATAACCAGGTAGAAAGCTGAGTTCTCAAGCACAAGGACAGCATCTTTTATGCTTTAGAGTCCCTATTTGATAAATGTTTTCTGATGTCAATGGGTAACTCTATTGACAATACATAGGTAAATAATATGAATCTATAATGATAAAGCTATAGTGTCAATGATCTACTCAACTAGCAAGTCTCTATAAAATAAGGATTTTTTTAAAACTGAAAAATATAATAATTTTATTTCATAAAATAAATGAAACTAAGAAATATTGAATGATATACAATTAGAAATCTGCAATGCTTTTTTTTGTTAAAGAAATAGAAAACCTTTCTATTTGAGTTCTACCTCTACTCAAGTATGATACCTTTTATTTACATACTAAATCCTTAGCCTTAAAAATATTAATAAAAGAGTTTAAATAAAACTACTAGACATGTAGTACATAGCAAGTCAAAGCAATTTAGTAGTTATTTCTTAACATATATGAAAGATCAGAGCTAAGGTAGCCAAGTTTACAGTATGCTAAAAGTAAAAAACTGTCTTTTAAATTCTGCCAAAATATATTTGATCTTCTTAAAATAGATCAAGGTTATTCTTATTTAAAGCTAAGTAAACAATTATTAATGCTTATCAAAATCCCTCAAAGCTATTTAATTTATTATCAGGCTGACATAGTTATCTAAATGGCTTCTCAGTCATTTTGTTTTACTTTTTTTTTCACTTACCTGCTTGTTTTGTAAAAACCTTACTTTGCAATAGGTTAAAGAGAAACAGAAATAATAAGCAATTATGTTCAGGTTGAGTGAATATAAATAAAAGATTGAAAAATTATTTGTGCACCCTGCAAAGAGACACCATTCAGTTTTTGCACTTGAAAAATCAAGGCCTTTATTGGTTTACATGAGAATTGGGATGAATACCTTTTATATCTTTGTACATAAAAATCAAGTATTATGGTTAAGCAAACAGTGGTAACTGCTGGGCAAATGGTGTATGTACTTAAAAAGAAAGTATTCTAAAAGGTCTCTTTTTGCCTTGGGCAGAGCTCACACCTTTCCACCAGAGAACCCCTAAGACCCTTGAGATGCTTTTATTCATAGAGTAAAAAGCCATGTCCAGTAGAAATCAGGGGGCTTGGTTTAAAGTGACCCATAATAATTACACTTTTTTTCTAAAAAGCTAATGCATATTTTGCATTCCATTCCATAAAAGTCAGTATTTGTTTTGACACCGACTTCAAGTTAAATCATGCTTCAGGGTGATGTGCCAAGTCCATTCTATAGTTTCACATGCCTCCTAGCGTATCTCCATATACCCAGGTTCACATTATGGTTCTAGGGCAATCTTTGGCTGTTTCATAGGCTTCTCATTTAAAAAAAAGTGACTCCAGAAATATAAAAAGTTATAGCTAATAATATCGTTCTTCAAGATTTTCTTTTTTCTTTTCTAAAGATCATTTCTAATTGTGCCCTCTAGTTTAAGCAACACAATAACTTCCTTGTTTCAACAAGTAGGCCTTGGTTCTAAAGCATGGATACCTGCTTTTTGTTCCTGGTGGCTCTCTCCATTTTTGTCTTTATGGGCTTTTGACCTGAATTCCTGGTTTAAGCATATACCCTATTCTAACTTGCAGTGTTCAAGTACACCCTGACTGAAGCTAACTCTAAACAACAGGCCATGGACCCCCAGATTTGCTAGATATCGTCCTCCCATGATGGCAATCTGCTGTCACCAATCCTGCTTTGGCATCCCTGCTCTGTTCTACCTTCTCAACCAATATGCATAAATCAGGGCTGTATCTAGTCCAGAAACAAATAGTGTAAACATACATAAAAATTAATAATTAACTATAATTTTTTTCTAAATTATATTCTGTTCTTGGGCTAAGGAAAATTGGAATAAAGAGCAATGATATACCATTAGGATGTCTTCAAAGTTGGCTTACCACGATGGTGTAAACAGAGAAATGTATAGATAACAAAATTGGCAGGTAAGTGCCAATTTTCAATAGATGAATATTCTGCATGAGAAATGTTTTAAAAATAGGACATTTTAAGATTTTATAAGTTGATATTCTGGTTGATGATCCTGAGTACTTAAAACTATTTATAAAGCTATACCTAAATTTCAAACAGATTTACCAGTCATCAGATCGAGTGCCTTCTTCAAAATGGATATTCCCCACAGTCTCCAACTCAATTAACAAAAATGGGATCAATAAGCCATGAGCTTTCTTCTTTTGCTTTACTTCAGTGTGATAAATTGCTTCAATTCTATTGAAGAAAAAAATAAATACAGCTTTAGAAAGATCTAAAATCACAACATTAAAATTCATGATATTTTAACTGATGTTAAAATACAAGGCTTGCTTTCAATGGATAAAGAAAGCTTGGTGTTGCAGTGAAACCAAGTAAAAGACAGTCTGTTTTTGGCAATTAAAATCACCTCTAATTTTGTTAATCTGAAAATATATAAAGGTTAGAAGACTATCCTGGCTGTATCACTTACGGCATTCAGATCTTAGACAAGTCACTTAACCTTTTTATGCCTGAGTTTTCTCAGTAAAATGGCAATACTATTAGTCCCTATGCCTTAAAAGGCTGAGGATTATATGTAAAACTCTTAGCAAAGAATTTGGTACAGAGTAAAAACCCAATAAATGTTACTATTATTATTGTTAGTATTATTATTACAGGGCAAACTAACTTAGTGCTTTAGGAAATAAAAAAAATGTGCAGTCCTTACTAAGCCTTTGTGTTTCATATTTCTAGTTGATAACCGAACCTGAACTTGTTTCTACAATGATTTCAGACAACTATGTATGTGCTCTGCCAGGTCTCATGTATTTGGTGAGTTTCTGCACCAGTACCAGCTCTGTTTTTTTTAAGTTTTCAGACACTAGAGCAGTGATGTGGCACAAAGCCACTCAGAGGAAGCTCACTGTTTCTAATTAAGAACTGCCTCTGCAAAAACTATATGCCAGCTTTGAACCAATGATGCCTCTATGTACTAGGAACTGGAACTAGGAACACGTTTCATGCTTTATTTACTTCATACTATAGTTCTTTCCACTCCTGAAGAAGGGAACTGAGCTCAATTTATGGCCCCAAACAATCTTATTTTCTCATGTTTCAAATCTGAACAACTAGACAATTCATTAAACATACTCATCTAGTTTTTTGTTCCAGAATGCTACCCTTTCATTCAAGGCATTTAGCTTGGTCAGTATCTTCTGTTGAAGACTTGGTTCTTCTGTGACAGTTTCATAATTCTTTGGTTTTTCAAGCTCAGTTACTTTATTGTTATTAGATCTAGCACTGTGCCCTTTGCCAGATCCCTTTAGTTCAGCCAGGTCCCGTTCCAACTGTTGAAAACAACATACCATAAAGCAAAATAAAACATGGTAAGGGCAAAGCCTGAATTGAGATATTAAATTTTCAGTGGATTTAGTGGCTAAATAATTAATTGAAACTAAGGAGTAGAAATCTATGTAACACGTAGGCCAAACTTCACAAAAAGGTGCCAAATGTGATGTCAACTTTAGTGCAATCACAGTCAGCCTATTTCTCTTGACCAAGTGACAACCTTAAATGCTTCGAACATGGCTATGTCTCAATTGAAAATAAGCAAAGAACTAGATTTTTAAATATTATTGATGCTTCTATTAAAGTCAAAGTAAAATTAAAATAAATGCTATATTTGGTATAAGAGGTTTAAACTTCAAATAATGTAATTTTTCACACAACTACTTTTTAATTTTTCACTATTTTTTCAACTACCTTGGTGTTCTACAAAAAAAAAATTAATCATAAAAAATACACAAAAGCACGTATATAATGGAGTATATTTTTCCTTTTGCCTTAGTTTCTTACATGGCTCAGCACAGTACCAGTCTTTAAGATTTGGTATTTTGCTCTTTTTTTGCATTAACTTGGATATTTTAAAATAGTGCATTCAATATTATTTATCTTGATTACCTACGTTTATGGGTACTCCCTTAATTGTGGGCTCCAGGCAAGAGACACACTTGCCTCATTCTAATCCCATCCCTGTAAGATTTCAAGATAAATTGTACTATACAAGAAGTGTACATATTAGAGTGAATTCAGTAAACTAAAAAGAAAAAAAAGTGTACATAGAGATTTACTAATTATCTGTACTTCTTCTCTATAATAGCTATATCCAGCTGTTAAAAAGCAAATTAAGCATATTTATAAAAATGTCTATAGTCTTATATATCTATAGCTATTACTTTTCACATTTGCATATTTTATTTAATACATGCATTTGCACATGAAAATGGCAGATATAAAATGATTCCCAAATACTGGTCTCCTGTGATTTTTTTATTCAAATAAATAATTTAAATTTTGTCAATGTTTTACTTTAAGAATATTTTCTGATTATAATAATTAAAACTTGTTCATTTTAGAAAAAGTATCAAACATATTTTAAAGCCTTTGTTTATAATGGCTATATACTATTCTATCTTAAGAATGAATAACTCTTGCTGAATATTTAGGTAGTTTACAATTTTTTTTGTTATTAATAGTGTGGTGATAAATATCCTTATCTATAAATCTTTACAGTAGAGGACTACAAGTAGATTTACTGTATCAAAGCTATGAGCATTTTTAGGCTGTTAATACATATGACCAAAGTTACACTCCCACCAGCAGTGTATAGTGTGTCACATCCATCCCCACGAGCCTGAGTACTATCATGTGTTATGCTTTCACGGTGTTATAGGTGCAAATGGTTTCTTATCTTAATTAACAGTTAGAGATTAATAATCAGATTGAGCTCTTCTTTCAAATGTTTATTAGTCTTTTTTTATTTCTACTTTTGCAAAATTCTAGTTTATATACTTTGTTCAATTTTTCTATTTGGATATTTACTTTTTATCTTGTTTTACTTATGACTACTTTTATACTAAAGACATCAACCCTTTGTCTATCATGTTTGTTGAAGACCATTTTTTCAGATTGTCATTTAGTTTTTATTAATGATGCTTTTTAGTACAAAACCATTTTTTTTCTTGCAATCAAATATACATTTTGTGCCTTTGTGATTTCCAGTATTTATTTTATTTGGCAGGCCAAAATCATTTAAATATATCCACCTATGTATTTATTCTTCAATTTTTCATGTTTTCATTTTTACATTTAATTCTCTTTTTCCCCTACTAGTATTTGCATTTAGTAAAGTGTAAACTAAGGATCCAACTCCCCATTCTAAATATTTGGATTATTTTTCTAATACCATTTGTTGAATAACCCATTATTTATTCATCCTTTAAAAAATACAGTTATATCTATATAAGGTTCTATTTTGGGGTAAATAATATCTTAATTTTTCAGGGTCTACTTTTAATAAAGGAAATTTAATTTATCCTAAATAAAAAAGTACACATAATATACTATTAAAGTACAGCTTGATTTAAAGCTCACACCTGTTGTTTACCTTAATAGTATTAGTAAAGGGATATTTTAGTACTTGGAATAAGAAAATAAATTTTGAGCACAGCCTGCTGGTGTCTAATAAAAATGCAGCTGAAATAAGTCTAATAGATCTCTGTAACTCTCAGAATCATACTGAACTACATAGCTTTAAAAAAAATTCATAATTAACTAAGCCTATACCTTTTTTGAATTGCAGATTTCTCAGCATAATTAACTAAGCCTATACCTGTTTGAATTGCAAATTTCCAATTGCTGCACTTTAAGAATACAGCTTAGTTAAGTACCTGAAATCAAAAGATTTTTGGGCCAAACTTGACTTGAAATTCAGTATTAATTTAAAATATATATATGTATATATACATATAATTTAGAAGGTATCACTTGCTATCTTCTCTGGCAGTATTCTTAAGATGTGGCCACTAGAATTTTACATAATAAATCTTACACTTTTCTTTGCAAAGCTGAAAAATTTTATTCGTTCTTCGGGCAACTTTTGTAATTTGCATTTTCGATCATTCAGTCTTTCAAGGTCTTCATTAAGATGCCTTTGAACAGTTTTTATACGCATATTGTAATACATTATTTTTTTCATTGCTGTGGTCTAAAAGTAAGAAAAAACCCAGATGATTAGCTAAAACAAATTATAGATAATTATAAGTGGTATTATATGAGTAAAGCATGTTATATACAACAATTAGAAAGTTTTGCATGCACAGTTACTAATAACAATGATAGCTGGACTGACAATGGCTTCATAGAGTTGTATATTTAAACTTAAAAGGAAAAATATAAGGTTCCAAAGTTTTTTCTCTGTGGATAATATTTAAGTGGGAGGCATATTTACATTTATTTTCAGGATGACAATATAAAAAGAATTTAATTTATAAAATAGTACCATTTAGCTAATGAGGCAGTACAACTAAAGCAAATATGTAATACATTATTTCTATTTGATTAACTCAGGGGGAAAAATTAAAAAGAATTAAAAACAAATGTAACATTACTCAATTCATTTTTTAAAAGCATGGCTAAGAATTTGATTTAATTTTTTAAAAATCTACAGAAGAATGTTCTAAATGAACTGGTTTTAGACTGAGCAAATTACTAAATTGTCAATCTAATCCAATTATCTTGAATTAATTAATGCCAATGGGTCATCTAGTTATTAAGAAGTCTATCATGATAAAATGATTAAATCCATGGTTAAGAAAGATACCACATAAATGGTCCTTAAGAGTTATATTAGTCATAAAGAACTAGCTGAGGAGAACATAAACAAATTAGGTATACCATAAAAATGTGACCTAGTTTTAACTGTTTACCTGAAATAATAAAGTCATTTAATTTTATCAGGAAATCTGCACCTAAATAAGCTAGAAGGCTTAGACATATATTTTCTGTAGCTACAGGCCCTTTTTATATGATTTATTTAGTATAGAGTAGATAATCAAGATCCCAAACAGTTACTTGGCATAAAAGACAGAATAGAAATAAATATATGGTATGATAAACAGGCCAAATTCCTCTGCCAAAGATAAGGCATTAATAACATAGAACAGTTAAGAAAAAATTTGTTTTAGGATGATGATAAACTGATTAAAAATCTCTGATAATGAAGAGCTTAACTTCTGAGGTAAAACTAAGTTAGAAGATAAAACTGTAACTTAAGAAATGGCAAATGATGTTTCTTGATTTTTTGCCTATTTGGAGAAAAATGGAAAATCCAATACAAAAGTCTTTGAGTCAGTGACAGCTTAAAAAAAATTCTAATGACTTCTTAAATCTAAAACAAGAGGAAATCCATATGCAGAAGAATGAAACTAGACTACTATCTTATACCATATTTTTTTAAAAAAATACCTCAAAACGGATTAAAGACTTAAACATAAGACCTGAAACTATAAAACTACTGGAAGAAAATGGAGGGGAAATGCTTTAGGACATTGATCTAGGCAAAGATTGTATGGCTAAGGCTTCATAAGCATAGACAACAAAACCAAAAACAGACAAATGGGACTATATTAAACTGAAAAGCTTCTGCATAGTAAAGGAAACAGTAAACAGTGTAAAGAGATAACCTGTATAATGGAAGAAAGTATCTGCATGCTATTGATTCAATAAGGGATTAATATCCAGAATATATAAGGAACTCAACTTGATAGCAAAAAATCCAAATAATCCAATTGCTATGGTTTGGATATGGTTTGTCCCCTTCCAAACTTCATGATTGCCAGTGTTGGGGCATAATAGGAGGTGTTTTGGTCATGATGGTGGATCCCTCGTGAATAGATTAATGCTCTTTCTCAAGGGTAAGTTCTCACTCTACCAGTTTTTACAAGAGCTGGTTATTAAAAAGAGTGTGGTACCTCCTCCCCCTTCCAATTACTTCCTCTCTCACCATGTGATCTCTGCACACAGCATTTCCTCTTTCCCTTCTGCCATGAGTGGAAGCAGCCTAAGGCCTTCATCAAATGCAGATGCCCAATCTTGAACTTTCCAGCCATCATAATTGTGAGCCAAATAAACGTTTTTAAAAAATGTATTAATTACTCAGCTTCAGGTATTTCTTCATAGTAACACAAAACAGACTAAGAAAGATTTGCAAAGTATTCATTTGATAAGGCACTAATGTCTAGGATATACAAGGAAGTCAAACAGCTCAACAGCAAAACAAAACTAAATAATCCAATTTAAAAATGGGCAAAGAAACTGAATAGACATTTCTTCAAAGATGACATACAAATGGCCAACAAACATGAAAAAATGCTCAACTTCATTAAATATCAGAGAAATGCAAATCAAAACCACAATGAGATATCATCTCATCTAAGTTAGAATGGCTACTATCAAAAAGACAAAACGTAACAAATGCTGGAGGCAAAAGGAACTCTTTGGTGGGAACGAAAATCAGTACAGCCATTATGGAGGTTTCTCAAAAAACTAAAAATATAATTACTATACAATTCAGTAATCCCACTACTAGGTATTTATCCAAAGGAAAACAAATTGGTATATCAAAGGGATAGCAGTACCCCCATGTTTATTGCAGCACTATTCATAATAGCTAAGATATGGAATCAACCTAAATGTCCATCAACAGATGAATGTATAAAAAAAATAGTATGTACACAACGGAATACTATTCAGCTTTATAAAAGAATGAAATCCTACCATTTGCAATAACATGGATGAGCCAGAAGGACATTATGTTAAGCAAAATAAGTCAGGCACGTGAAGATACATACTGCATGTTCTCACTCATATGTGTGGCAGCTAAAGAAAATTTTGAGCTCATGGATGTAGCATAGAATTGAGAATTGTGGTTATTAGAGGCTGGGAGGAAAGAAGAGAGGGAAGGATAGGGAGAGGTTAATGGGTACAAAATTACAGTTAGATAGGAGGAATGAGTTCTGGTGTTCTGCAGTACCATAGAGTGAACACGGTTAATTATGATTTATTGTATTTTTCAAAAAGCTAGAAGAGAGGATTTGGAATATTGACAACACAAAGAAACGATAAATGTTCTAGGAGATGGATATGCTAATTACCCTGATTTAATCATTATATATTATATATAAGTATTGAAATATCACTGTGTATCCCATAAATATGTAGAATTATATACATCTGAACTAAAGATAAAAGGGAAAAAAATAAAACAGCAAGAGAACATAGGGTGGAGGTAGTTTATTTTGTAAGGTAAAATGCAAGATACCAAGTTAAATTTGAATTTCATATAAACAATAGTGTTTTAATATCACACTTACTAAACTTACTTATACTTATTTAATTATACAAAATTATACTAAAGTACTCTATCTAGGCCGGGCGCAGTGGCTCACGCCTATAATCCTAGCACTCTGGGAGGCCGAGGCGGGTGGATTGCTCGACGTCAGTATTCGAAACCAGCCTGAGCAAGAGTGAGACCTCATCTCTACTATAAATAGAAAGAAACTAATTGGCCAACTAATATATATACAAAAAAAAAAAAAAAAAAATTAGCCGGGCATGGTGGCGCATGCCTGTAGTCCTAGCTACTTGGGAGGCTGAGGCAGTAGGATTGCTTGAGCCCAGGAGTGTGAGGTTGCTTTGAGCTAGGCTGACGCCACGGCACTCACTCTAGCCTGGACAACAAAGCAAGACTCTGTCTCAAAAAAAAAAAAAAAAATACTCTATCTAAAAAATAAAAGTACTACTTTTTTACTTTGTTTAAAAAATTTTTTAATAAGCAGTATATTCGAATATTTCAAAAACCAAAAATTTAAAAGATATATAATGAAAAACCTACTTCTCACACGTGCCCATTTTCCCAGTTGCCTCATTTTCCATGGATAACCACTGATTTTAGTTTCTAGTGTCTCCTTCCATACTTTCTTCAACTTTATTTTTCTATTTTAAGACTATACCTATATTTTCATATAGGAACATAAATTGTGATATTTTTACTATTCCTAAACTTTTCCAAAATTAGAGTCAGGAATAGGAAGCAAACAAGTTAACAATCAGGAAGCATTTTTTGTTCATGTTGTTTGAGAATATATACTAAGATTTTGGAGAATGAGGGAAGACTGTTGTATAAGCCATAAACATATAAGCAAAACAACTTTGTAGGCTAACTATATGCAATTTTCTTTTTGTCTTTGGACTTTTATGAATTAATATCAAAGCAATTTTCAAGGACTTTGGTAGAATTACCTGCCTGTTACAACAGAAAAGTTTTTTAGAAATTAGATTAATTATGATTCAGTTACAAGTTTGTATTAAGGGAAAATTTGATCCCTGTGCTTCTTTGATAGCCAAAAAAAGATGAAAAGTCATAAACATAAATGTGCTCGACTATAGTTTCATAGTGATTATTTTTGTTGTATGTAACAATTAAAATGGGTTTTTATGCATATTAACTCACTGGATCCCCTCAACAACCCTGTGGTGAAAGGTAGATAGTATTTTCAATGTCATCATTTTAATAGTTCAGAAAACTGAAACTCAGTGAGGTGAAGAGTCTTGCCAAAGTGACAAGTAGAAAGAATTGGTCTGCTGATTTGAATGCCCATTTTCTTCTCTCTGTTTCAATCTGATTTCTTGATGGTCTTTCTGGTAGGTTCTGACTTTACTTGCCACTTGTAATTTACACAAATGACTTCACAGTCATGGGTGAAAATTTGAAGAATCAATAGGACTCTGTTGAAGAATTTCTCACAGAGAATTGCCACAACTTTTCTTCTTATGAATAGTAATGAAGGAAGCATTTTAGAAATCAATATCAATCCATAAACTAAAAATACTTTGAATTGTAAAAATCATTTTGATCTGAATCAAAAGTTTATTTTTTATTTATTTTTATTTCAGCATATTATGGGGGCACAAATGTTTAGGTTACAGACATTGCCCTTGCCCCACTTGAGTCACAGCTTCAAATGTATCCATCCCCTAGATGGTGTGCACTGCACCAATTATGTGTGTATATACCCCTCACCTCCCCCACCACCTGCCTGACACTTGATGAATGTTACTACTATAGGTGCACTTAAGTGTTAATCAGTTAAAATCAATTTGATAGTGAGTACATGTGATGCTTATTTTTCCATTCTTGGGATACTTCACTTAGTAGAATGGGTTCCAGCTCTATCCAGGATAATACAAGAGGTGCTATATTGCCATTCTTTTTTGTGGCTGAATAGAACTCCATGGTATACGCATACCATATTTTATTAATCCACTCATGTATTGATGGGCACTTGGGTTTCCATGTCTTTGCAATAGTGAATTGTGCTGCTATAAACATTCTAGTGCAGATGTCTTTTGTTCTTTTTGGTAGATGCCCAGTAATGGAATTACAGGATCAAATGGTGGATCTACTTGTATCTCTTTAAGATATCTCCATATGGCTTTCCACAGAGGTTGTACTAGTTTGCAGTCCCACCAGCAGTGTAGGAGTGTTCCTATCTCTCCACATCCAGGCCAACATTTATTGTTTTGGGACTTTTTGATAAAGGCTATTCTCATTGGAGATAAGTGATATCTCATTGTGGTTTTGATTTGTACTTCCATGATAATTAAAGATGTTGAGCATTTTTTCATATGTCTGTTGGCCATTAGTCTATCTTCTTTTGAAAAGTTTCTGTTCATGTCCTATGCTCACTTTTTGATAGGGTTGTTTGATTTTTTTCTTGCTGATTTTCCTGAGTTCTATTTAGGGAATCAAAAGTTGAACTAAATTATCTATCCTATTTGTGTCTTAAAAAGTAAAGGAAGAATAAATATTTTACAGTGAGAAAACTGAAATATGACCTAATTTAAGATGTCAGGAACTATGTAACAACTCCATATTTTGTTCTTTAAACTATACTATTCTTCACATGTACAAGACTCAACCAAATATATCATAATCTCAGTCAGAAACTCAGAAGAACCTACCTCTCTTAGTTCTCCTCAGTCTCCTCTGCAGGTTCTTCCTCATCCCCCCAACCTTTAACACCCTAATGACACACTTCCCCATCCACACCATTACCTTGGTGATTCATCCAGTCTACAGATTTAAGTGCCATCTTTTTGCTTTCAATTCATAGTTATATTTCCAATCTTGGAAACTCTCTTAAATAGCAGATTCTCATATCCAACTACTTATTGAACATATCCATTTGGATGTTCAAAAGATTTTTTAAACTTTACATGCCTGAAATTAAATTGTGATTATTCTTTCTAAACCTACCCTCTCATACTCTTCCCTCATCTCATCAAATAGCAACTAACTCAGTCACTTGCGCGAGCAACTAACAAGGAATCACTACCTACTTCCTCCCTACCTAACGCACAACCAATCAACAAACAAAGACAGGTTTCACCTTGTAAATACTAGAATCTGACTATTTCTTACCACTTCCTCTACTAACACCCTCTATCAAACCATCCACATCTCTCATCTAAGTTACTAGAATAACCTGCTAACTGGTCTCTCTGTTTTCACCTTTCTCCTCTAATCCTCTATTCTCAATCCATTATTTAAAAGGATCCCTTTAAAACATAAGTCATCCCTTCTCTGCTCAAAATTTTCCAGTGGCCTCCATCTCACTCAAAGTAAAAGCCAAAGTTCTTACAACATTCTACAGAGTTTCACATGATCTGGCCCCTACCACTCCTGTCTTCGTATCTTCTCTTCCCCTTATGTTCTCAGCTCCAGCCCCACTACCCTCTTTGTTGTCCTTCAAGTACAAGAGGCATGCTTCCAGCTTGGAGGCTTTGTATTTGCTGATCCCTAAAAAGCTCTTTCCCGAGATATCACATGGCTTGCTCCCTCACTTCCTTCAGGTCTCTGCCCAAATGTCACCTTATCCCCAAATCCAGTCCTGACAATAAAATAACCAACACCTTTTTCTTTCCCCCTAAAAATAATCCCTTTTCCTTCACCCTGGTTTTATTTTTCTCCATAGCATTAATTACTGTCTGATGTATTAGTTGTTTATTTGGTTGCTTATTATCTGTCTTCTTTCATTAGAATGTAAGCTCCAAGAAAGCAGATTGGTTTCATCACTCTGTATCTCTACTATATCTCTACTCTGTATCTCTACTTGAGTTGTGCCTAGAATATAATAGGCATTATGTATTTGTAAGATAAGTGAACCAGACAAAAGCATGCTCATCCTGTTCACCTTTGTAGAATCTTTGTGTGATGTAAAATTATGGAAATGATAGTGGAAGTTTCAAAAATATGGTTGATACTATGAAATTTTGTTATTATTTTTAATTAGCATTGTTGAAGAAGACATTCTTTTCTTGGCCTCCAAAGACTCTGAACATCTGCTAATAGATAAGACTGCTAGCATTTTGCTCAGTATTTTAAGACAGTTCACCTCTTAGTTTGAGGATACGAACAGGATAATCTCAGCCTTAGAAAAAAGTGAAGAGAATATGGAACTTGAGAACAAATCCTCAGGCTAGCAAGAGAAGAAAAACACGTTAAGATAAATGGATAAAGACATTCCTTACCTATGCTGAAGTGATGGCTGAGCCACAGGAAAAGATGGAAGGGTCTCATGTCGGGGCATACACGTACATGGCACACTAGATACTCAAAAGCTATTTATTGGATGATTAAGTATATAAACAGAGCAAGGGGAGAGGCACTGCACTAGAAGGAGAGGTAGAAATATAATATGGAAAGACTATTAATAAGCATGGGGAATTCCTATAAACTCCATTATGAAATCAGAGATCCCATGGTGGCATGTCAAAGTTGCCCCCTTATTGGCAGGTCACTGTCAGCAGCAGCCCAGGAGCAGCTCTCTTCAAGCTTTCTGAGATGTGATGGCAGTGTACAAAGATCCACTTAAATTTCCAGGGAATCATGATCCATCTTTTTAATTATGTTAAAATCTAACTAATGCTTGGCATACTACCATCAACCATGGGTATTTTCTAGTTTTCATATGTAGTATTCCAAATGAGAGGCAGTTACTTGTTACATTTCCATTGTTATTTTAAGCTTCAAAAATTTTTGTGCATATAGCACTAGTCCAATTATTCTTAACACTGATGATAATTTGTCAAATTTCCTTCTTCTAGTTTTGTAGAAAGTAATGTTTTTCTATTATTTAACCTTCCAGTACTATCATCAAAATTGAAACCCTAGTATTAATGTTATTATTCATATAATTTTATGTGAAATATCTGTTCACTGGCCAAAAATGGAATTGGCAACAAGAACTGACCTGATGATCCTACCTACCATGTGTGGACACAGCCAGAAAGAAACAGTTAATTAATAAAATTTAAGTCACAGATGCCTGATTATGGATATACTTACATCTGCCAGTTCCTTGATTTGCTTTGCTGACACATCAAATGTGTCTAGTCTTTGAAGGCAAGGCAGATGATACAATACATGTGTGGAATAATTACACAGCAGACAAACTGGATTGGTTTTATATTGAGGATCATTCAGACATAAATCCTTTAAGCAACGCAGCCTGGTTAAGTTAGTGAGGTCCTAAAACAACAACAATGATAATGTTCAATTAATTAATTAATTGTGACTTTCCATTACTAAAGGCTGCTTTGAATACTTAACCCATAATCTAATATCATGTAGTCTAATGATGTGATTAGATATATTAAAGTGATTTAGACGGCTAACATGTTTTTCGCTAGTGAAAAACATGCTAAATTCCTGAAGAATAGATTAATAATAATTAAACAGTAGACTCTATACAACTATGCATTTTAAATATTTACTAAACCAGGTATTCCAACTGGAACCGTGGAGCCAGTCACATGAGCACATTTATTCATGAAGAAGTTGCCCCCTTTGTATAGCCCCTTTTGCTAACAATTGTCCCCGGGCTATTGTAGGTCTTTGCTTCTTTTACCTCTATCTCCTATACTTACCACCTAGAAATATTGCTCTCAGTCTTCCTCGCTCTCCAGATCTGCTCCCAAAGGCTATGGGATCTCCCTGTTCATTCCAAGCAGTCACCATGCAATTCCTGATTTTTTGTTGTTTTTTGTTTGTTTTGTTTTTTCCATAAATATCCTTTCTACTTATTATGATCAACTAAAACCTAGCTTTCTCTTGAGGGTCTCAGTTCCTCACAAACTATGGAGGAGGAGGAGTTAATAATGCACTTCCAGACAAATGTTTCTACTTAAAGTCTTTTTATCCTGATGTCTAAAGTCATTGTTTACATTTTCCTTTATTTGTCCTTTGGTCCTTGCTTATCTCTATAGTCTTGCCTCTTTCTGTTTAAGCAGTAACATTTTATGATTTAGCCACCCTGAATCACTTGAATTTTTAAAATGTGCCAGACCCTATCTTTAGACCTTCACTCATCCTGCTCCCTTTGAGTGAACTAATCTTTACTCCAATTTCACCTCTTAATCTTTCAGAGACCAACTCAGATGTCATCTTCTCTGACAGCCTTTTTCATCCTCCAAGATTGGGGTAGATGCTCCTCTCAGGAGCTCTCTTAGCCACTGGGCTTAGCTTTGTTATGGAATTTATCATATCCTATGGCCAACTGCTTGTGCACCCACAAGTCTGTAAGTCCGTATGGGCTTTTGCTCTCAGTCTACAAACTAAGAATGATATTTACATTTTAAAGTATTGTAGAAAATTAAAGAATATGCCATTAGAGTCCACAGGTGGCCCACAAAGCCTAAAATATTTTCTATTAATATTTGGCGTTTTACAGAAAAAGTTTGCCAACCTCTGAGATAAACTCTTTGATAGCAGGGTTTGTGTCTTGTTTAACATTGAATTCCTAACACTCAGCACTTAGAACAAAGTAGACACTAAATAAATTTGTAAATTGAATTTTTACTTTCTACCAACCTCTAAGACATCCTTACATCTTTCTCATTACTAGGATAGATCCTTACATCTTTCTCATTACTGGAGGCAGGATAATACTATGGTAGGGTCAAACTTGAAAAGATACTAGTTAGGAGAGTCAGAATCATAATTAAGGAAAATCTAAAAGAAGACCTAGGAGGCATTTATTCTAAAGATAAAGTACAAATGGAATGGAAAAGAAAGTAGTGAAGTTAGGTTGCTAAAATCAAGAATAATTCAGGGTCAGGTGGCCAATGTATTTCCAAACTCTCTCTGGACAAGTGAAAATGTGACTTACTGGCTGACCTGCGGCTAGGGCTGAGCCCATGGTGGGAGTGGGACTAAGCAGGGTTGCTCTAAAAGGGAGATTTAGGGATAAAGCTGTACAGAGAATTATTTGGTCAAATTCTGCAGAGGTAATGAAGGCAAACTGTTCAACTGTTCTGAGGAACCATTTGATTACCCTTTGATTACTGGGTGGCTGTGTTTCATTTGGCCATCAGTCTGGGCTAGGAGATGGTGGGTGTGAACTCTGAAGTCCTACATGGGAATCCCCCACCTACAATCAAAAAGTGAGACGATATTGGAGTCTATGATGGCACAAAATGTCATTGAAAATTAATGTTGTGGTGCCTGGTATGGATGGAAGCTGGGCACAGAAGTTATCCCATCATTACCAAGATAGTGTCTTTTTAAGGTGGGATAAAAGGTTAGTGATAAAAATCTATGATAATAGTGTTTCAGAAACATTCCTCATATGAAGATAGTAAAAGTTCCTGTAAATCATGTTCAGTGTTTTTATGATAGCCATCACTACTATAGAGATCTTACTTAATATTATGTCATACAATGAATTTTCACAATAGTCTTATTTTATTATCATTTTAAAATGAGGATACCAAAATGCAACAGGTTAATGTAATTAAAGTAATAGTAATGAAGTAATAAAAACAACATATTGGTTGAGTCCTTACTATGTGCTAGTCACTATTCTAGGAGCTTTACTCCACCTAAACTGCATGTTCCCACTGAATATTGCTGCCTCTGGTATAGGGCAGGGCTAGAACTGACAGATCTTTCTGCCTATGCAGCCTACTCTTATAACCACCACAAGGCTGCCAAGGCTAGCCAGAGTAAGAAAAATTTCTATAGGTTTCTTGGCAGGGCAATCCCTTATCCTCCCAACAGCCAGCACTTATCTTCTTCAGCCTCGTCTAACAATTGCCTCTCTCGCTCTGTTCCAGCCACACAGGATTTCTAGTTCCTTGGCTCTGCCATACTCCTTTCCACTACCTCAGGCCTTCACACGTGCTCTAATCTTTGCCTGTAAGGCTCTTTCCCTCAGCAACTCCTACTTAAGTCTCATATGTTAGCTGAAATATTACCTCCTCAAGAATGTCTTGTACTGACCTCCCAAACAAGGATAGGTTGCCCTTTCATATATTCCTATAGCACTCTAAATTTATCTTTCATAGCTCTCTCTCATCTCTTCTGCAATTTTAACATATTTAAGCATAAAGCTTTGTCCACATTTCACATTATTTTCTTGGAAGAGATTCCTAGAAGAGGAATTGATAGGTCAAAGGATAGAAACCTTTGTAAAGGGCTTGGTACATATTGTCTAAATGCTTTCTAGAAATTCTCTACCACTTTTAACTATCACCACCATCATATAAATGCCCATTGTACCCCAATCTTGCTAGCACAGAGTGCATACTTATAAAAATGTTGACTATCTAAAATATGTTAAGTTAAAAGTTATATCATGCTTTAATTTTCATTTTATTCATTCTTAGTGACATTGAAAATTCTTTTATGAATTCACTAGCGACGTGGAGTTCAAGTCTATGAATTATTTGCTCATTTATCATTTCTTCTACTGAGTATCTTAGATTATTTGTTCCTAATGGGTTTAAAAGAGCTCTTTTAATAGTAAGAATAATTTCCCAGATGTTTCCTTTGCCTTTTATTTTATGATGTGTTTATCAGACTGGTTTAAATTTTCCATGTAGTTAGTTTTGACTTAAAGATTTAGTGTAGCATCTTACCTTGGCAGAACTAGAGGGGGGAATCACACACATACACTCACACACAGTTATCTATCTCAGTAGCTGTCCCTGTGACAACTGTTACCATCCTCTGAGTGTCTTTGGTTTTCTATCATGGCTTCTTTTCCGCATGTTTAATCTGATCCCTATTCTGATGGTCTTGGTGTTGGGAGAGGCTATGGGCCCTAAGCATCCCTTTACACTCTTGCTTGCTAGGTCAAGAATGCAAGGCATGATTGCTCTTTACCCATTTCCCATCATTGTGTGTACAGTGAGCAATCGTGAGGGATGAGGTAATGTCCCCACTCTTCCCAACCCCCTGTGCCTCTATAGAAAGCAAGCTTGCTTCTAAAGTAGTAGATTTCTCAAGCTCCTGTGTTCTTTAGATGTGATGTGATGCAAACCCATTGCATGTTCAGAATCCATCAGGCCTACCAGTCACCCCCGTGGGATTTGAGGGGCATAGGAAATTAAACCAAACCAACATTGTATTCATGCTACTTTCTGTGGAATGAGTAATAAAGTCCCTTGTCTCTGACCCAGGAGTCTTGTTTCTTCTGCCAGTATCAATGAAATAATAATAGGCTAGGTTGTTCACTTAATGTCTGCCTTCAGTCAATCTACATTCAGTAAGGAACCCACTAAGGACATATGGCTGATCCATGAAGAAGACCTTTATCTAATTCTACCCAGATCACAGATTTTCAGTCTTAGCCTCTGACTTCCTTGACCAGGTCTTTGCTAGTTCACTAATTAGCCACTCAGTTAAATGCCAGCAAGCCATCATACATACTGCCAAAACATGTTAGCCTAGCAGAAAGGGTCCCACGACTATGACTCTTCCTTGAGATGTGGCCTGGCATAAGTATATTTGCTTCCATGATGAATTATGGCAGGTATTTTAGTACTCGTCATCCTTGATCTCTATGACTAATTTGGTACTATGAACCATCTTGTTTAAAGTTCTCTTATCCTTTTCTCTTCAACTTCCCTCAGAGCTCTTTATCCATCTTTTATTGACTCCTCATTTTCTTTGAATCCCCTAAATATATGCATTTTCTAAGAGCAAAGATTCATTCTTTATGGATATTTAATCCATAGGAGATGTCTTCTAATGATTCTTAAATTAACTACTCACTACTCGAGCCCTGGAATTTCAGCTCCTCATTTCCATGGCCCCACCAGTACTCTAAACTCAACATATCCAGGACCAAATATATTGTCTTCCCACCCCTCCAAAATTAGCCATTTTTTTTTTTATTTGTGTATTTCCTAAACTTGCTAAGAACTGTACTCACAGATTCATTTTGGACTCTCTTGATCTTCATATTCTATGAGCTGCCAAATCCTGCAAATAATTCTTCTCCTCCTCTCCCTCTTCCTCCCTCCTCCTTCTTCTGTTTCTTCTTTTTTTGCTATTAATACCCTACTTCAGATTCTTATAATCTCTCATTTAGGCTATTCTATAATCTCCTAACTGGGTTTTCTCAGTTGCTCCAAACCAACAAACAGTAATTCCAGATAACTATCCCTAAAGAACATCTGATCATATCACTTTCTTGCTCAAAAGCTTTAATAGCTCTTTGTTGTCAATAGAGTACAGTCCTTATTGAAGACACAATTAATCTTTCTAGTCTTAACTTACAATATTCTCCTGTATACTCTATACTCCAGTCAAATGACAATGCTGATTTATTCAAATATACCTCTTGATTTCTTACTTCCATGCCTTTGTGCATATTGTTTTCTCCCTCTTAGAATGCCCACCCTCTACTGTCCAGTAATATCTATTAAAATTCTGTTGACCCGAGTTCATGTCAAATATTTCCTCTTGAATTTTACTAATAAAATAAAATTTTGTTTAAATTTCTTTTTAAGGTACTTATTCTGCCTCATTCTATAGCTTTTTGGTCTTTTTATATTTTTCTCTGAGTAAAAGAATGCCTATTTTAATACTGACCAATTCAAAATTATTTCTATAGTACATTTACCTATCTTTCTTCAATATTTTTAGAGGAAGTATTTGAATATGCACCTTAAATCTTACATTGTCAAAATTATGAATGCCACATGTTTTAACCCATATTGTATGTGATAAACATAAGTCCTTTCATTTGGCTGTTTTTCATTCATGTTCTTGACAAATGTTTATTGACATTTATTACATGTCCATCACTATTTTAAGCATTGTGGGTATAATGGTGAACAAAATAGGCAAAGTTCCTATACTCATGGAGCTTGTATTCTAGCAAGGGATGTGTCAAGAGAAAAAGTAAAACAGGAAGTGTGATAAGGAGTGCAGCAGACTGGGGAGGGGAGTTGAGTGGGAGTTGTTGTTATTACACCAAAATTGGGCAGCAAAGTCATCACCAAGAACATAACATTTTAACAAAGATCTGAAAGAAATGAGGAAATGAGCCATGCAGGTATGTAAGGGAAGAATATTCCTGCTAGTGGAAAGGCCCTACAGTGAGTGTGGGCACAGATTGGTCGTAGAGAAAGTATAAACACAGAAAGAGCTGTTAGGAGTTTTTTTTTAAGTTTTCAATAATGTAGGTTAGAGATGATGATGTCTTGAACCAGGTTGATAGTGATGCAAGTGGTAAGAAGTGGTTAGACTCTGGACATATTCTGGGGTTGAAGCCAACAGAATTTGCTGATGGGTTGGATAAAAGAAGTAAAAAATGATGAAGGATTTTGGCTTAAGTTACTAGAAGAATGGAGATACCATTTAGGGAGGTAGGGAAGGCTGCAGAAGAAGGTTTGGTGGAGGGGAAATCAATTCAAGTTATGACAGGAGATGTTTATAGTTCTAGGGAGTTGTCAGGGAAACTAAAGGTACCAATTTAGGAGTAATCAGTAGATAAAAAGTATTTAAAGTCATAAGACATGATGAGATTATTTAGAGAATGAAAGCAGATAGAAATGAGAAACAATCCCAGAATTGATTAAGGGCAGTCAATTTTTTAGATGCTAGGAGAGGATGAAAAAACAGAAACTGGAGAGTTGTAGCCAGAGAAACTGAAAGAAAACTAAGAGAAAATGGCATCCTAAGAGCCAAGTAAATAGTTACTTGTATGACTTTAATAGTATCAGATCATTAAGGCCAATGTAATCAGCTGACTCTCAAATTTCCTGGAGTATCAGGTATCCCAAAATAGTAAAAGGGGACTTCTTAAAAGGGGACTTTTTAGTACAGTTCATGCAACAAAATAGTTCATGATCTAGTCTGATAAATAAAAATGAATCATTCCACTTAAACATACCTTGAAAGAACATATTTGGTTACCAGAAAGGTTTAATCTTTCCAGTTGTTCATTAGGGTCAAGACATCGGCCTTTAAAAAATAAGATGAAAGAAAAATTAAATTTCTTGTTTTACTCCTGTTCATATCATGTTGTACTTCTGAATTATATATGGCCATCATTTTCTTGCATATAAATAAGACTAATAGTATCATTGCATAATTAGTAACACCTGATTAATGGTAATATTTTCACATCCTGTAACCACAGGTTGAGAAATGCTTTTCAATAATATTATACAAAAAAGTCTAAAAGAAAGAAATCTAAGCATGTACTTTTTATACTAATAAAAATTATTGTAGCATTATCTGAGATTCCAAATGAAATAGTACATACCAATGCTGCTTATTAGATTTCCAGCAAGGTTGAGATCATTTAAATTCTTCAAAGTTTGCAAGCCCTAAAAATTCAGACAATATAATTTAGAAAATAATCATTAAAATCATTATTTATAAATCATCTCTGATCAATCTGGTTAGTTCTCCAGGTGCTCTGAGCATTGGGTGCTTTGTATTTCACAAGCACAGAGGGAAATGGGTGCTTCAGAGAAGCCATCTCTGTTTCTTTCTACTGCAACCTAGAGGAAATTATTGGAGGAGGGAACAGGGAAGGGAGTGGAGAGGAAAAGAAGAGCAGTAGGAGGAAAAGGAACATATCACACAGAATACATTCATAATCTTTGGCAAGTTATAGCAATGATTATGGCAAGATTTGGCAATGTCTCTAACCCTCTTTTTTTTTTTGTTAACCTCAAAGAAGGAATAACGCCACCTTACCTCTCAGGTTTGTTGTGAGAGTAAAGAAAGTGATGTAAAAGAAGCTCTCTGTACATTCTAAATGCTACATACATGTTAGTTCTTTTTAACAACAATAATTATACTAGCCATGGGTATTCTGGCCTTAACCATAATATAATCTTGTTCATTGTGATTTTAACTCCATAGTAGTAATTGGATTTACATAGCAATCATTGAAATTATCTTACCTGAATATTTTTAATTGTATTGTGGTTTAGCCAAAGAACCTGCAATTTGATTAATTTATCTAAATTTTCTATTTTGCAAATTTTATTATAATATAAATATAGTTTTTCCAAATTTCTACATTCCTGAAGACCTCCAATTTTCTGTAAAAAAATAAAGGGGAGACAGAATAGTGTTAGCTTATATTTTGCCATTAATCCTTTCAATAAAGTAGGTTTCTAAGTGCATTTTCTCTTAAATGTCACATTTTATTACAAAATCAATATCCAGGGAAATGAACTAAATTTTTTAAAAGAAAAAGCATATCGTCCTTCCGCTTATGTACAATTATTTTCAACTTTGCATGTTCTCTTTAAATTTTAATCAACTCTAGGCCTACTTTTATGTGGTTATAATCATAATGCACATACATCTGGAAGATTTTTAAACTTAAAATTGTTTCTATAATCCTTCAAATTATAATATTTAATAATTATAAAATATTTCTTGTAGTTTATAATTTTCTTAAAAATTACCCATGTGTGACATATGTATGTTTCACATTTTTAGCTATTATAAATAATGCAACAAATATCTTCAGGCAGATAGTTGTTTTCTGTTGTTGAGTTACTTCTCTAGTATAAAATCTTAGAATAGAGATTTCTAAGTCAAAAAGTATGTACGTACACTTCTGTGGCTCTTGATACATTTTGTAATATTGTTTTTCAAAATAGATGTTATAATTTGAACAACCAATTGTGTCTAAGTAAGCCAATGTTACTATTAAGTAATACTGGCTATGTTGATTTGATTTGATTACCAAAAAGTAGAATATATTTATGTTTTAATTCCTTATTTATAGATTTTCCTTTGTACAATTTCTATCTTTTGTCCATTTATCTGTTTTGACCCACGCCTTATACATATATTTCAATAAATTATTTTTCCCAAACCAAAGTTTTCAGGATAAAATACTACACATAAGGTTATATGTTTAGATTTACCTCTATGCAGCACTCAGCAATCCAAAGTTCTTTAAGTTGTAAACAAGTCTCTAAACCTGAAATTTCTTTTATATCTTGAGCAACAATCGTAAGACTTATTAAGTTAGGAAACAATGACAATCCAACTATGCGAGGATACCCTGAGAAAAACATCTCCAGTTTTGAAGTGTCGGATCCTTCTTGTATAACCATCTCATAAGATAAACCATTGCATAAACACTGTTTTAAGAGAAAGAAATTGGGTTATTATTTATTTTAGAAGATACAAAAAGACTTTTGCCATTAGAAATTATAAATTGTCAATTGAAATGATGCCATTTTTATACTCTCATAAGAAAGAAAGTTGTACCACATATGTGATTTTTCTGTTTTCAAAAGTCACAAGATAAAAGAAATCACTCAATAACCCTTCCAGCTTTAGAAAGGATCATAAAAATGTTCCATTAAATATTGTCACAAATGTTGAAAAAAATTTGGCTTTGACTCACCAGTTCTTTAATTATTTCTTCTTGGTTTAGATTTTCACTTTCAATCATTTTCCATTAAAAACAATGATCATAATATTATATCTGTCAAGGAAAATGAAAAATTTAAATAAATACTAGAGTCATGTCATTCTAAGATAAACAGGACCTTAAAGGAACCACCTACCTGAGGCTTGAAATCTTCATATAGTATATAACCAAGTATCTATCTGAATCCCAAGGGATTCCATTCTATCTCTGAAGTTTCCTCTTAGAAGGTTATTTTTTATTCTGAATTTAAATATGTCTCTCCATAACTTCTCCCCTTTATTGTCATTCTACTTCTTTGGTTCAAATAAAACAAGTATAATTTTTCTTCCACATAAAGATCCTTCAATACTTAAAGAAAATAGTCATCTTTCATCTATACCCTTACCTCACCTCCCAGTTCAAGTTGTTAGTTCTCTCACTAGATATTCCTGTTTCTCTTCTTTGAACAGGCTCTTGTTTATCCTTTGAATTATACTATGGTGTCCAAAACTGAACACAGTTCTCTAAGTGTATTTATCAAAGAGAAGAATCCACAGGGCTTAGCAATATACTTGGCATAGTAATTAATGTTTATTAAAATGAATTCTCTAACTTCTTCATTCTAGATGATATGAACCAATTAATAGCTAAATAGCTTCAATAAAATTTAAACAAACTTTCATAATTTTTAACATTTTTATTATATTAATCCATACATATACTATCTAAAGAATATAGGAATCTTGGTTTCAATATGATGGCATGACAAAGCAAGATGTAGAAAATGGTGCATATTATAATCCCACTTTTTATAATAACAACTCCTCCATAGATATTTGTATATACATGTATAAATGTATACATATATATATGAATGTGTGTGTATATATGACATCAGGAGAAAACATAGAAATATATATACCAAGTTGTTAACATGAGTAACCTTAGATGCAGGTGAAAGCTGATGTGGCTGGAATAGGAATGTTGGCTAGGAATAGATCAAGGCAAAAATGGAAAAGAAAAAACTGCGCTTTTGTAAAAGGATGTTTAATGTTGCATAGTATGAATGTATAATCATTTATTTATTCTTTCTATTGTTGGTACACATTTGGACTATTTCCAGTGGGGGCTAAATAATGCTGAACATTTTGTCATGTAGGTCATAGTTAGAAATTTCTTTTGGGTTTATACCTAAAAGTGGAATGAGAATAACTATTGTTATATACAACATGGATGATTCTCCTAAAAACAATGTTGAGCAAAAGAAGACACACACATACAATGAGCACATACAGCATGACTCAATTCATATAAAATTTGAAAACAAACTAATCTATGGTATTAGAAGTCAGGATGTTGATTACCTTTCAGGGCTTAGTGACTAGGAGTAGGCAAAGGAGGGACTTCTGGGATTCTGCAGTGCTCATAACAATATGTTTTTTGATCTGAGTGCTGGTTAAAGTGATGTGTTTGCTTTGAGAAAATAAAATTAGATACCTAAGATTTGTGTAATCTCTACTTAAATCTTTATTTAAAAAGCATTTATATGTTCACTTTTATTCATTTATGCAAAATTATGTACATGTACAGGTATATATACATAAATTAAAATTTTAATTTAAAAAGTTGATGGACTTTAAATACAAGTCCATGTATTTACCCACCTTCCTCCCCCAAATCCCACTAGAATGACTAGAGAAATATGAAAATAAGAAAGAAACATATAGCAGTGATAGGAAAAGAGCACTGTTTGTCAGAAATATTGAGAAAGGTGTTTTAAAAATGACAAAGAAGACATCAGATTGGGAAAAAAGCCCATCAGTACAAAGCAGATCAAAATTCAAGGTACTAGCGAAAAAAGTTTCACAAAACCATTCTAAAAAAGTCCTTAAGCTCAGAGCAGCAGTGGTTGGGAAAAGAGTAGTTGTGGGCCATACATAAGGGACCAAATCAAAGGACTTTGAGATATGTACCAGTAAAACTACACACAGTCTATATTTGCATTCAGGCTTTGTAAACTGGGGACATTGCTCCCCTATAATGAGTACAATGAGTTGAATGTGTCCCTTCCAAAATTCAGGTGCTGACAATGTGACAGTATTAAGCAGTGGGCCCTTAAAGAGGTCACGAGGGCCCCTCCTATCATGAAAGGGATTAGGTTCCCTTTTCAAAGGGCTCGATGGAGGGAGTTCATCTCTTTTTTATCCTTCTGACTTTTGCCATGTGAGACCACAGTGCTGTTCTCCTCTGGAGGAGGCAGCATTCAAGGCACCATATTAGAAGTAGAAAAATGATCCGTACCATATACCAGATACTAGTGCCTTGTTCTTGGACTTCCCAGCCTTGATAACTATGAGAAATAAGTTTGTGTTGTTTTTAAACTGCACAGTCTCAAGCAAATAGCAGCATACAATGAACTAAGACACTAAGTCAAGAAGGAGGAGAGGGACCCCAGCTAGCACCACACACACACAAAATACAGCCAGTAAATTATCCTAATACACAAGACTCTCTGTTCATTCATGCATTCATTCATTAATATAGGTATTGAGGGCCTAATATGTACCAGTCAGAGAATGAAAGTGGTGGGAGGAAAGAGAAGATCTCTCTGAGAAGGTGGAATCTGGACAAAGAACTAAGGGAAATAAGGAAATGTAAGCCATGAGAGACTCTGTGGAAAATGCTTCCAAGCAGAGGGACTAGCAATTGCAAAAAAAATGGGGTGAGAGTATATTTGGCATGTTTGCATACCAGCAAGGAAAATGATGTGCCTAGAATACATTAAGGGAAACCGAGACTGGTAGGACGTGAAGTCAGAGAGGTATTTTGGGACCTAATCATGTGCTATCTTGTAAGCCCTTCTAGAGGATTTGGATTGCAGTATGAAGAAGATGGAAAGATATGTAAAGACTTTGAGTGGAAGAGTAATATGAGCTGTCTTAAATATTCAAAAAGATCACTCTAGCTACTCTGTTGAAAGTAGACTGTAGGAGTCAGGGGCAGAAGCAAGGAGACCAGTTAATGGGCAGTCGGAATAATATAAGTGAGAGAGGATGGTGGTTGGAGTAGGGTGGGAGTACTGGGAGTAGTGAGAGTGATTAGATGATGGACCTATATTGAAGGTAATATTGCTCATTCCTTCCTTGCTTCCCATTGGCAACTGCAACTTTACCCCATTCTTGGACAACACGGAGATATTACAGCACTAGCTTCAAGTGGTGTCAGACAAGGGATTACTTAGTAAGGAGCAACCTGAAAGAATATAGAAGGCTGGGCATGGTAGCTCATGCTTGTAATCCTAGCACTTTGGGAGGCCAAGGAGGGAGGATTGCTTGAGCCCAAGAGTTGGAGGATGCAGTGAGCTGTGATCATGACAATGCACTTCAGCCTGGGTGACAGAGCAAGACTCTCTTTCTAAATTTTTTTTTTAAATTTAAAATATTAAAGAAATAAAAGAATTCAGATACATGAAAGGCCTATACATAGACGCAGGTCATAGTCTTGCCTCCCTAGGTTTACTAAGAGAGTACATCATGTAAATGAGGGTTTATAACCCCACTACTCATAGGAAGAGAACCCCCTACATTCTGGCTTAATGTCTGTGAGCAGCAAAGGAAAGCCTGGCTGCCCACCACAAGGGCCAAAGCCTTCCCTTAGAACCTCCAAAGTTACTAAATGGTGATCCAAGTTATCTAGTCTATGTTCAAGATATCTATTACAGAAGGAATTAAATGTTCTCTTTGTTATATTCGAAATGATCATATATACTTGGGCCAAATTTGGGGCTTTCTAATCTGTGCTCTTCCTTAGCTATGTCTATTCCTATACCAGTATAGTATCATCCTGTTTTAACTACTGTGATTTATACTGTAAATTCCCACCTAATATTTTTCTTTGGAAGTTTCCAAATTTGGAAATCTTATTTTCTAAATAAGATTTATGATTATTTTGTATTTATTTTTTAAAAATTCAGTTGAGATTTTGATTGAGATTACATTATAAAGATTAATTTAGGGAGAATTTCCATATTTACAATATTGAGTCTTCCTCAAGAACAAGGTATAGCTCTTCATTTATTCAAGGATACTACTTTTTTTGGTATAGAAATATGCATATTTGGAATACCAATCTTTCCTCTCCCTTTGCCTTATTTTCTCTTCACCAATGCCTTCATTTAGGAAAAAAATCTTTTTCTAGTTCGATAGTTAATTAGCAAAACAAAATTTAATTTAGAACCCCAAATTATATAATTTGCATAACAATATCTGAATCATGAGGCATTTGGACCTTCCTGATACTTACAAGCCTCATATGCTTTCTCCAGTCACAAATGGACCCAAGGCTACCAAATGAAGCTTCTGATTCCACAAGAGGGGAATGCCTGTTGGGCAGCTTGTACCTACTCTCCTGTACTTTGGGAAAGCTCTTTCCAGGGCCTGCCCATCTAAGAGGCTGAGGTCTTTTCTAGTCTCCCCGGAAACCAGGAGCCACCAGGAACTTCTATAGCTTTTATCCTTCAAATTGCAAATTTTGGATTGATCCAATCATCTCTCTCCTCCACTTTGGATTTGTTGCTGGAAAGTTTCACATAACCATCATGGAGCTGAAGTCACTACAAATGCATGGCCTCTAACTTCAGCTGGATCTTCAACAACAAATGTTTTGTATTTTCCTTGTCAATTTCCTCTCCTAGGAGAGTAGGACTAGAAATCTAGGATTCGTGACATGGTGACTTTCTAAACTTTTACTACTGTTCTCAAGGCTCTCTCTCTCTCTTTCTCTCTCTCTCTCTCTCTCTCTCTCTCTCTCTCTCTCTCGATGATTTTGTCCCCATTTTAACAGACAATAGTGATGCCATCAAATGTACATTCCTTCAATTCCCTTTCTCTCCTCTCCTTTTGATTTCTACTTTAGTAGAAGTGTTCTTCTTTTTGTCCAAAATTAATCTCCCTTTTTATATATTGATTTCATCCTCTTCTGTCTCTTTCAGAACTTCTTTGTAAAATTTTCCTCTTTCTCATTTATTCTCATATTTCCTTCTCAAGCATCTCTTTTCTTTCTGTATATGAATGCTAGGTCTTTCTTATCTTAAAAAAGTCCTTCCCATTCTATATTTTTCTATGAATAGTCATTTTTAGATACTTTAGAGAAAATCTTTTAGATGATCATTAGCAACACTTCACTATCTCCATTCAGTCCCTGACCCACTGCACTCCAAGGACACCTCAAGCCATTATAGCATCTTATTACCAAGGTCAGCAATAACCTTCTAATTGCCAAAGACAGTGAGTGTGTTTCAGCTCTCAACTTGAGCTGGACATTGCATTTGACAATGCTGATGATTCTCTTCTTTATGTTTTCTTCTTTGGTTTGACTTTTTCTGTTTGGCTTCTCTATACTTGTTATTTCAAACCTACTTTTACAATTAGTTGTTTCCTTCTTGGTGAAAAATCTTTATCTTCCTCTTTCCTCTACAACTAACCCAACTATACAAATGAAAAGTTCCATTTGAATGTGTCACAGTCATCTTAAATTCAGTATGTCCAAAACTGAACTCATTATATTTTCCAACCAGTCTGCTTCTTCTAATGTATGCCGTCTTTTGATAAATGACCCCTATCCAAGTCAGAAACCTGGGACTTATTCTCAATCTTTTATACTTTCTTCCCAGGTTCACTCACTCATTAAATCCTTATGCATATACCTCCTAAATGTCTATCAGATTTTTTCCTCCTCTCCATTCCAATTGCCTCTGCCTTAGTTCAGGTTCTCATAATTTTACCTTAACTGGATGCCCTCCCTGGAGTTTCACTTCCCTACAATCCATCCTCTACACTACTGTGACAGTTAGCCTCCTGATAGGTAAGTCTACTTATGCTAGACCCCTTTGGAAGGTATTCAGTCTCCATGCTCTAATTCCTGCCTACCTTTTAAGTTTATCAACCACAACCTCCACAGAGCACTGTAGGTTCAGGCCACAACTATAGTTCCTTGAACTGCCTGGGATGTTTCTGTATTTTGGCATATGCTGTTTCATTTCCCTAAAATGTCTTTTATCCATGACTGTATGGCATACTCCACACATCCTTAAAGATTTAACTCAAAGTCTGTAAAGATTTTCATTCTCTCTGGTAGTATTATAAGCATTCTCTTCCTTGTGACTCTGATTAAAGTGTGCACATGTCCTGTATATAGCACCTGCCACTCTGTATTGTGATGTTCCCAATTCTTTCCTCCCTACTAGGTTGCATGTTTCTTAAGAGCTGGAACTATGAACCTATCACAGTGCCCGGCACATGCTAAGTGTTCAATAAAATTTTGTTGAATGGTTTCAATTAATTGTCATGCCATCGGCTAATGTATGGTATGATTTAAAGAAATATTTTTTCTACACGATCATTCAAAGTAATAATCAGAGTATAAATGACCATGTTTCTGTCTGTCATGAGAGTTGAGTAGGGTGTCATTCTGAGAAGACCAAATTGCTTTTCTGCAAAGTAGAAGCCCTGTATGGTCAAACTGTTTCCTCATTGGGTATAAAAGGATCAGAATCCATCAATTATCACTGATGGGCCGAACAAACACTTTTCCGGCTCTAGATGAGCAGTATCAGGTTTGACCAAGCAGTACTTGGTTCCCCCTACCCAGAACCTTAACTGGTGCAGTAAAGGCTCACAGGTGGCTGTAGGTCACCCTCCCCCCTTCCTCCTCCTCTTAAGCTTTGCTCCAGTCACCCGGACTGCCTCAATAAAGCCACGACGTCACTGTCTCTCATCCACTGCCCCATTACAGAGTTCCCTTGACCTCAACGTAGCTTCACTAGCGTCTTCCTCCAGGTGGCGGGCCGAGAAGGCCTGCGAGGGGAGCAGACTCCCCGCCAGCTTACAGATGATGTACGCCTAAGGCCACCAGATGGCGGATACTCACCTTATCCCAGGGAGACGATGGATTCCAGGGCAATTCGAGACAGGTCACAGTCCACTCCGTCCTCCTAATACCTGTCTAGCAGCAGGCACAACCTCTCCAGCCTCGAGCCTGGTGTGTACAGACTGCTTGCTGCGGTTGCTCAGGAAACCTGCTCTCCGCCTACAGCGACCTCCAGTTGGGGAGGGGGCTGATGGGAGCGGGGACAGGAGCAGCCGACCGGAGTCTGCATCACGTGGCGCCACGCTCCAACCAATCAGCAGAGGCAGGGGTCCAGCCGGAAGACCCCGCTGGTGCTCCTGGGAAACGAAGGGAGCTTCTGGTTTGTGGGTCTCTTCGCACTTGCGCTGGTCGGTTCTCCTGCGTTCGGCGACTCGGAGGACCAGACTGGAAGCAACGATTTGTGGGGCAAGGTGGCAGGGGAACTAGTTGGTGTCTCCTCCAGTCCCGCCTCTCTCGTGTAGAAAAATCTTTGGCCCTAGGGCCCTGGACGCCCGGAGCCTGTGTGGACTTGAACTCCAGAGGCGTGGAACTATGATGTCACAAGGCGGCCTGGCGACCAAGACGAGCCCTGATACCCCGGTGCAGTCTCCCCCCAGCGTCCCGGGACCACCGCCTTCCGGGAATGTAGCTGACAGCCGCCGGTAGCCGCTGTGCGCCCAGCGAGCCGAATCCCAGCACGGCGCGGGCAAACGAACGCCCCTGTGCCCTCCGGAGCAGAGATGGATCCTCCAGGGGTGGCCTTGTCGTTCTTGGACAGGCTTTTCAGTGACTTTTAAGTATTCGAAAATGTTCAGGAAACAAAAATTGTCTGCAAAATAAAGTAGAATTTAAGGGGAGAAAGGGGGAGATTTTTCAGAGTGGGTAGAGGGGCTGAGAAATGAATGAACTTGGTAAAAGACAAACCAAAGTGACTGCAGCTCTCCTTTCATTCTCTGGGTCTGTGTGTCCCACTAGCTAGCCACAGCCACGTGTGCCTATGGAGCACTTGATGGCGTGCTGCAAAATACCCATGGTATGTTTAAAGCTTAGTATGAAAAAAGCAATATAAATTAATTCACTAAATTTAATGAAAAGGAAAGGCAACAGAATAAAAATTAAAATAGTTAATTATATTGTTTACACATTGAAGTAATATTTTTGATACGTTGGGTCAAATAAAATGTTTCTGCTTTGAAAATGCAGCTATTAGAAAAATTTTACATTGCATATGTGAATTGCATTATGTTTCCTTTGGACAATGCTGCTCTTTTTTTTTGTGACTGTGTGTGGTTTAGTTGGCTTCTGTGGAATATTTATGATCAGTTCATGCAAAATAGTGTCTGTAGTGCTTTTGTCAGTCACCAGATGGCCGTCTCATTCAATAGATTATAGTTTTACCCTTCATTCTCAAGAAAAATATTTCAGATTTAAGAAATATTTCCACTTATTTAACAGCTATCAACAATTTAACATATTTTCCGGGAATCAGTTAACTTTATTTGTAATATTAACTGTTTGTAAAGATATTTAGACATATGGGAAAAGGGAAACTAGTTTTCCTACATTTTATTGCACAGAAAATTAAACTAATTAAAATATTTGTGGCTTAGGGATTTCAAACTAATGCCAGAAAAATTTGATTCATGATTTTTACTTTTATTATGAACCTCTCTGAAATCTAGTTGAACAAGATGACCTGTCTTTGGGGAATTTTTTTGTAGAATATAAAGACTAATTAGAAGATAATAGTTCAGGTTTCTAAACTTTTAAATATAGAAATTGGATGAGAAATCAATTAGATGAATTACCTACATCAAGTTTCTCATTTGGTGGTGATGCAGCTCTTTGAATGAAAGTATAGACATTATCAAAGTATATTGTTAGAATCTGTTGTGATTTTCCTAACCAGTAAAAGACTGGGAGGAAGATAACATAGTTTACTTTATATTATATGAACACATAGTTTTAATGTTTTTATTTGTTTAATGTTTAATGTTTTTATTTCCAGTTAAAGCTCAAAAATTTGGCTAGTAAACAACTGAGTCAAGAGTTTCTTTTTAGCTGTAGACTTAATAACCATTGGTGACTTGCCAAACTAAAGCCTTTGTCCACAGTAATTCTTAAAAGAATTGCCTGTTGTTCACATATTCCAGATGTATAAAGCAAAAGATGCTTGCAGTTACAAGCCGTAGGAGCAACACAAAAACAGTGACCATTTTTCTTAATCTCCTTTTCTCACTTTAAATTTGCCCTATGATATAATTTTACGTACAAAGCAAGCAATGGAAGTTGAAACTACTAGAAGTCTAGCGAATTGAGTAATTATCCAAAGTGAAATAAGACTTCATTTCATTCATCTCTTTTCATATTCATAGACAAAAGCCAAACCATATAAACTTAAATCTATTTATAGGTAAAGAAATCTTGAATCTGAAAACAACTGGGAAGATATATTACCACTAATTATGGCAGACCTACTGCATCACTTCCCAGATTAAAGAAGAATCATTTATTTTAACCAAATAGAGGTGACTCTGTTGACCCAAAGAAGAAAATTTTGAATAACATAATAATTTGTTAATTAAAACCTTTTTTAGTCAGTTGTTTATTTCTCAAAACCACCCTATCCTCATTGGTACATAACTGTGGAGATAATTAATTACAATTCCATAATATCTTATAATGCCTTTAAGTTTAATTCCAGAGAACTAAGTTTAGATGTTTTAAATACTAATTGGAGTTTTATATTCTTGTAGACATTTGATCGTTATGCAAATAAATACTTTCCAGCTAATGATTTTATGATATTATCTGTAAAAATTTACTGTCTCATATTTGAATTTGATATAAAGGATCATAAATTCAGCACAACTTAGGATTTAATTTGGCAGTAGAAGAGCTAATTATGTGGTGCTCATCAACAGAGGCCCTCTTATTATTCATGTCTAGCAATAAATACATATTAAGATCCAATTAAAAGTTAAGGGTTGTTCTGAAGTAAAGTTTTAATTAGATAAACAGAATGCTATTTCTAATGGGTCTGTCCAGAAAGGTTAAATAGTCTTTGTTCATGATTTGTTGATACATAATTAATGGACAAGCTTTTCTTAAAAGGCAGCCAGAATGAAACTGTAAAAAGTCACTACCTCCTCGTTTACCATTCCAGTTATATTTGCAGTTAGCTCTAAGCTGGCAAATTGAGGGACAATGAATTTAAACAGGAGTGGTAGTCTTAATTCACTAGAGAGTTGACCAGTTCTTTGTGTGGGAGAATTGTTGTTTCCCTCCCTCTTTTCCTTTCTGTCCTTTATTTAGACCTTAGGCTTAGAAGAAAGTTGATTGTATTCCTCAAGTCAAAGTACATTATCATCACTGGTCCATACAAGACCCTTCTCTAGTTTTAGATCCTTCTCCAGTTTTTTTTCCAGCCCCCAACCAATCTCAGCCATGGGTACAAATCTAGTGTTCCCTATAAACCTTTGGTTGTGCATTTATCTTTGAAAAATAGACAGTGTTGTTTTCTGTGTCTGTATTTTTACTTTACAGAAATGATATGCTATAATTTTATTCTGATCCTGTTTTATTCAGTGCTATTTGAAGACTTATCCATGTTTTTATATGTGCATATAGTTCATATATTCAGCACAGTATTCCATACTGTACGTTAACCATGTTTTGGGGATCTTTCTTTCTTTGTTTTGCTACTAAAGGGCACTTAGGTTTACTCTAGTATACAACACAGCAATGAACATGTTGCCTTATAATTATTTTCTTGAGGACAGTTTAATATATACCAGGAATAGAAGTCTTGGGCAAAAGACATACTTAATTTCACTAAATACCATCTGATACTTTTCCAGAATGGCTGTCACACATTTACCTCCTACCAACGTACTTGAGAATTCTCATTCCTCTTATTGTGGAAATATAATTGAAAACAAAATCTCCTGCCAACTTCTCCACAAAGGCAGAAGAAAACAAAAACAGTTCTATTACTGAATAAGCATTAAACCAGAATGTTGTGTGTATCACAGGCAATCCCCTTAAGAGATAGCTAGGACAGAAAGAAATCTTATTATCCTTTTATATAGCTGAGCAGATGCAACTCATTACATACATGTTCTCAAAATAAATGATCACTAGTCCTCAAGTAAGAGGACTTGACAAATATCATTTGTCACACCTTTAATATGAATGAGCTACCTGGTAATTGGGGTGACTATCTGTGTTAGCTAAATGGCTTTATTCAAAGAAAAAATAAACTCATATCTTTATGACAGGAAGCAGTTTGGGAGCGAGGCACCTGCTCAAATTAGATTCCCATTGTCCCACAGAAAGGATGAGGGTCCTTTCTTCCTTGATGGCTCCCAGGTCCCCAAGAAGTCATTCCAGAGTTATTAAGCTGGCAAGAGGCTTAGGTTTTAAAAAGATTAATTATACATACATGTCAAAGAGACAGAGAAAGAATTTACCATTACAGGCTTTCTAAAGAAAATACATTGTAAGAAAAGAGGAAAGAGGCGTCTCTTCCTTTTAGTACTATGGAAAATAAATTTTTAAAATTTGTATTTACCTTTACACTCATATCTTTGTTAAATGTTTGCTTAATGTCTTCCTCCACCACTAAACTTTGAGCTCTATGAGGGCAGGGATCACATTATATTCCCAGCATTTAGCTCAATGGCTGTCACACAAGTGCTCAAGGAAGAGTTTTTAAATATATGAATAAGTAATGTGCTTAGTGTTTTATATAAACTTTCTCATATTTTGATCAATTTGTTGTTCCAGGCTGCTAGAATACACCTATAGCATCCTGTCCTTCCTGTCACTCCTTGCTTTCTCTAGGAAAGCAAGAAGTAGCAGACATTTTTTTCTCAGTAAGCTTAGAGAAAATTCCAAGTTTCTTCCACATAAAGCAAACTATAATAAATGCTATATAAAGACTGGGATTTATAAAATTCAAATTGGCAATGATGGTTTACTCTAAATATCCAGTTTGTCTCCCTGTAAAACAGTAGGTCCCATCTGGACAAAGCATTATAGTATAATCTATATTAGAGGAGTGCTTTGGGAGGCCAGAATTAGGGCAGAAATTTACCTGAAATATTTCAAAGTCAGAAAATTTGGAGCAGTAATTCCAAATGAAAGTTCAGTAAGAATGGGGTTGCTACTCTACCTTAGGAAGATAAACATCATGTTCAAGAACCTGGAGTCAGGGATGGAGACCAGTAAAGAAAGTCTGGTGCAATGCTATAAAGGGGTAAGTGTGACTAACTCATCTCTCAGTGGAACTTGTGTATGTCATATGCATATGTTAGACTGGCTTAAGGAACCAGAGACAGACTGTTCTCCACTCAAGTCCAGATTCTCTTTGACAGAAATGGTAAGGTCAAGGCTTCTGAAAATTTGCCTTCTATAAGGACCTCTCACAGTCTGCAGTATTCTTGAGGTGGGAGGTTTGTTCCCAAGCTTACCTTTTTGTCTATACCTTTCCTATTGTCAGCTATGAGAGCTAGCTGTGGTGTCACTAGGAATGCTGTGCATTTTCCATTGTGTGCTCTAGGACTCTGTCTCTAACTATTGCTAGAAATGAACGGTAGAGCTAAATGGATGGAAATAAGTGGAAGCAGAATGCCATAGGATTAATTAACCTATGGATGGCTCTAGAAAGCGATCTTTGGGTTTTTTTCGGAAGGGCAAGGATTGTGTGTATATTGGAAGATTGTCAGATAATTAATATGGGTCTACTGAGGTAGAGAGGATTAGACTTATAAAAGATATAATGGGAGAAGGCAGGGAGACTGCAGACCACAAGGCAGATCTGATACCTGTGGAAAGAAAGAAGGAAGGATTGAATGAAGAGAACATCAGACTGTGGTGTAGTTCAAAGAAAGATTCTGTTAGGTCAGTGGGAAGTTCTTAAGTCAAAGTCATCTGTTGGAGGAGTTCTGCATCCAACTTGTAATTTTCTTCCCTGGTGCCCATTTTCAGTAGCTGCATACTTTGTTTTGTCCCCTAACACATTGGAGACTGTCCTAGAGATCTCCCCCTCTTTTGGTACAGACCAAAGGTAAGATTTTGGTGGTCCTCACTGATTCTCAGAAGCACAGTATATGTGGAAACTATGTTTTCTATGCAATGCTTTGTTTTAGGGGAAGGAATGAGTGAATTAATGGGATGAGG